ACTACAAATGCACCAAGGGTTTGTAATCTAGCCTATTCATTTTATGTCCTTTACTATTCATGATATGCTAGTCTTCCACCCCATTGTCTGGTAACTTTTTCTGAGGACCGAGTTTCTAAAGCAATGTGGTGCACTCTTCCTATGAGGAGGAAACATCTGGGCTTTATTCTTCAAGCTTTGGAGGTTGATGTGTCTTGTCAAGGGGTAAAAATAGCAAATAAATTGATTTTATTTCTGCTTAAAACTATCATAGTCATTCCAAAATAGAACGTATAAAAATTCTCTGTATTAGAAAAAAAATGAGATACCAACTGTATATTGTCTTTATTTATTCTCTGTTAAGTCTGTCAGGTGATAAATTGTAAATAACAATGATTAAAGAAATATGCTACTGATGGATCCTTTTTTTTTTCTGTGAAAATAGCACTGGTTCTGGGCTTTGTTACCATTACTCCTTATACCGTTACACCCTTTCTGGAGACGTGACGGGATGTGAGGACAGAGCTGAGGGATGTATGTGGTGTGGATGCCTTGTTTGTTGAAGGAAATCCAACAGAGGGTTATTTACATAGGCTTCTGATATATTAATTGACTGTTTATTGAAAGAAAAGCATCTTGGCCCCTGGCATATCCAAACCTACTAGAGATTGGTGTATGTTGTTAGATTAGTCCAGTTCTAGAGAACCCAGTCCAGAATTGGGTATCCTTTACTGTTGTGGCTACAAAGCTGTCTTGTTTAATACACAGCGATCCCTTCTAAATCCAAATATGGTCTATCTCAAGACTGCCCACATATACAAAGAGCTACAAAAAACTATGATTAACCAGCAGGCAGACTCAGTCTTCATAACAGAGAGTAGGATGGAGCCACCCAAAACAACATATATCTTATCTTGTCCCTGAAGAATACATTCATATTTTTAAAATTCTGAGTAATACTAACTTATTTTTTTCAGTGATGGCCACAATATATAAGTGAAAGGATATAATCCCCCAGAGAATAACCAGAGGTCTCATGAAAACATACTCTAATCCCCCCAGAGTTTCTGGTTTGGTTTCACAATTAAAGGCCAGGAGTTCAAGTATATATGTAATGGCAGTAGGGTTGGAGGTGGAGGAGATAAAAAATAAACAGGAATAGCAGAGATGCTCAAAGAGGTACAATTCTATTCTCAACACCTATTCCCAAAGTTAAAAGGTAGGTATAAGTGATACATTTGGATCCACAGGTGATAAGTCATAGATACATATTATGTGGCTCAGACAGTAAAGAATCTGCCTGCAATGCAGGAGACCCAGGTTTGGTTCCTGGGTCAGGAAGATCACTTGGAGAAGAGTAGGGAATGGCTACCCACTCCAGTATTCTTGCCTGGAGAATCCAATGAACAGAGAAGCCTGGAAGGCTACAGTCCAGGGGGTCGCAAAGATTGGACACGACTGAGCAATTAACACTTTCATTTTCATATATTACGCGTATATCTGAAAATATAATTTATTACTAAAGACAGAGATTATATCTGCTCTTTAATATTTTATCTAACAACTTAAAAGGTCCTGCATTTTTTTAACTGCTGGTTAAAAACTAGTAAAATCAGTACTAGAAAACGGATTTATCTCCATTTATAATTTTATATTCATTTTGTATTTGAAAAAGAGATGCACACGCATAACATCTTCTGGTCCTTGAGTCCTACAGAACAATAACTTATTATGTATAGGCAGCATATGACCTTTTACTATCTCATGACATTGGTAAAATGCCACTCTCAAAGTAGTTCTCAGCCAGACTGGATGTACAGTGATTTGAAGAAAAGACAGATGAAAGATACCTACAAGAAAAGGTCCCATTGGCAGCTGTTTTTTGCCCCTGTTGCAAACCATAGGCAAGTTAGTTCTAGAGAGGACTGTAAGGACCCAGAACAAAGCTCTATTATGGAGGCTAAAGATATCTTTATTTATTTTTGTCTACCTAAGGACAATTTCAGGCATGATACAAGAAACCAGAGATCAGTTTCATAGTGTAAAAACAAATGTATTATGTGAAGAATGAATAAACAGCCAAAGGTAGTGGCTGCATTTACTAGGCTGATCATGGGGCCAAGGTGTGTTACGGATAAACGGCATCATTGGGTAGCATGTTTTCTTCTGGTGTCTCTAGGAAAACAGCCCATGAACAATATAAACTCAAGATGACTAGCTTGAGGTGATAAAAGTCACACTTACTCACCTATAAGCAAAACCATAAGGACTTCTCTGGAGGTCCAATGGCTAAGACTCTGCACTCCCAGTGAAGGTGGCCTGGGTTTCATCCTTGGTCAGGGAACTAGATCCCACATGCCACAACTAAGACCCACTGTAGGTGAATAAATTTCTTTTAAAAGAGTTATTAAAAAAATTATGACTATTATTGAGCAGCATCTGACATGTGATGAATTATCTTTAAAATACAAAATTAAGTATCTGTCATCAACAGAGTCTTATTCTCCTGGTCTCTCTGGCACATCCAGCAGTTCGGCCTATCTTTGAGGCTGCAGAACCTTGAAAGCAGCAACTTTATTTGGAGAAGACCAAGGTTCCCTCACTTGGCTTTGATGGACATCACGATGGAAGGAGAGACTGCTGGTCTTGCTCCAAAGTCTTCAGGCCTTCACTTAAGTCACAGACAGTCCTACACTGGTGGTCATCCTCAGATTGTGATGATACTAAATCTTGAGTCTGGGCCCTCCCCTTATTGGCAGGAACGAGTTTTTCATAGGATAGCCATACAACTCTATGTCCTCACTCCTATTTATTTCACAAGTCATTTCTGAGCTCTATGTGCTTTCATGCTAAGTTGCTTCAGTCATGTCCGACTCTGCAACCCCACAGTCTGTAGCCTGCCAGGCTCCTCTGTCTATGGGATTATCTAGGCAAGAATACTGGAATGGGTTGCCGGGCCCTCCTCCAGGGAACTGAGCTCTGGACGCTTTAAGAGGAGGCTTTGGGTCTAGATTCTAAAGATTGGGGTGTACTGTCAGACCCTATAAAATGGCTGCTGTCTTGGTCTCTAGACATCGCTGCCTACCTGGCCCTGTCTCATCCTTACTACAAGCACATGATGGCCTCCTTCTCCTGAGCTGAAAGTTTAATTGGTGACTACCTGTATGATCAGCCCCGACCCTAGCTAACAATTATTCTAAGACGGAGGGCCAGAATGACTCCAACACGTTTGATCACCAACAAGAAACAGCAGCCGGTGGGTGCACAGGTTGCTAACCCAAAGAACTGTGGGAAGACGTTTCAGCAGTCTCCCTGGCAATCAAGGAGTCCTTCTGATGTCAAGTCCCCTGTTACCCATAGCCTTCTGCTCCACTGTGTAGTGAACACTGCTGCCTTGTCCCGCCTCCTATTGACCACACACAGTGGGGCCTCATTCCACAACAGTTGCCTCTTACATGTGCGATGTAATAAATCATGGATGTCTCTTTTGCCTGTGGACTCTTTCTTTGGTCTAGCAATTGGGCAGCTACAAAAGTTGCAAGACTGTAAGGGTGCAGCCCAACACCAGAGTTAATTTTACTGCAGAACTTTCAGAAAATATTGTTTAATCATGGTTTCTTTATAATAGTTGTAAGTGGGTTATGGGTAGAAGTTGAGTATCACTCAAAAAAAAAAAAAGAATACAGGAATTAAATCTTTAATAAGATTTATTTATTTATTTAATAAGATTTATTAATTATTATTAATAAGATTTAAGTAAGATTTACCTAATACTAAACTGATACCAAATTAATCAAAATGTCCAGGTTATTCAAAGCCAATGTAAATGACGTCAGTCTCGTATCTTTCAGAGATCATTGCTGTTTATAAATAATTGAAACTTTGAAAGTGGTTATGAAGTACCTTCCACAGAGTTTGATACACGACGTGCAGAATTCCTTACAGTGGACCAGACTGGTGATGATCACATTGTTACTGCTACTACTGCTGCTAAGTCGCTTCAGTCGTGTCCGACTCTGTGCAACCCCATAGACGGCAGTAGCCCACAATAAATCCAGAAACCTAAAGTAAGCATTAGAAACTTTTATGGCAGTTTGGCAGAGTACTTACATCTGTTGAATTTAATTTTAAAAAATTGGGGCTTGTATGCTTCTTGCTTTTTACTTAATTTTTCTAGCAATTTATTTTTATTGATTATTCCATAAGTACCCATCTGGGGTGGCATGGAAAAGCAAAGCGGGTCCTTTATAACAAAGAATTTGAGACTCGCTGAAATAGGAGGTTACAGGACAGGACCCATTACGTCCTATGGCTTCGGAGCTTCTCTGACTCTACACCACATTCCAAGTTTTGAAAATTGGCGATTCATGCATGATTCTCCGTAAAGTTCTTAGTAAAATCAATGTTCATTTCCGCGAAGATCATTTTTTAAAGGAAGAGGAGGAGTTTTGGAACCAGAGGTTGGGTGTTAAATGGCACAGTGCCTGGACGGAAAACTAACTAATGATCATCTCTAAACTTCACTTCCTAGCCTCAAACCTCTCCTCTAAAATACCGAGCTCTGGTGAAAATATCCGAGGTCTTCCTGCCATGAAGTGCTAATCAGAGGCGCCAGGGTATTCACCCCGCGTGAGCCGCGAATCCCCTCCCGGAGCGCACGGCTGGGAGAACGCCCCAAACGCGACAAAAGCCGGACGTCAGTGGGGCGGACCCGGGGCGGGACACCTTCCGAGGCCCAGGAGCAGGGACAGCTCGGATTGGCTCAGGCCTCGTGCGACAACGCGGCTCCGCCCCTCGGCCTACCTCACTCCATCCCGGCTCCTGCGCCGTGAGCGGCTGGCAGGCCGCGAGCGACGGAAGAGGGCCCGGCGCGAAATCCGTGACGAGAAAGGGAGGCGGGGCCCCTCAGGCCCTGATTGACGGCCCGGGGGCGTGGCCGAGGCGGGGTTACGGGTCTAAGTGCAGGTGAGAGGCCTTGCTGGGTGCCTGCTTTGGGGCGCGTGGTCACAGGGTGCGCAACCATGCGGAAAGTGGTTTTGATCACCGGGGCGAGCAGGTGAGACCTCCTTCGAGATAGTGGAGGCGGTGGGGCTGGGGTCCGAGGGAGCAGGAAGTACCAAGCCAGGTGGACCCTCCACCGACCGACCCCAGGAGCCCCTGTCGCTGACCCTGCCTCGGTGGGGTCGCGGGCCGGAGACCCTGTCCGGCTTTTCTCTGGGCTCCCCTATGCGCGAGGTACCAGGCCTGTCGGCGTCGTGAGCGGCTCAGTAACGTGCTTTCAATTAAACACGACAGCGAAAATAAAAGGCGAGCGCCACTCAGAGACGTGTCTTGATGACGATCCTGTCGGTATGCAGAGAAAGTGACTCTACCCATTCAGACCTCGCCCCCTTTCCACTTTTGACTTTCTCATCACTGGTAAATTAGACCAGATCACCATACTTTTTGTACTCTCCCAGTTTTTTTGTTTTTTTTTTTTCTGTGCTAGACTTCCGCCCCTAGATAAATTTCAGCGTCCAAGAACGTTAGAATACGGGCGCGGGGGAAATATCTCATGTAACACAGTGCTAGATACCTAGTATAAGTACTCTTCAGAGACTCAGAGAAAAGTAACTTTTCTGTTAAGGCGTGGAAGGAGTGCAAGTAACCATACTGCCGAAGAGTAATAGTCTGGGGGCTGGGTATTTGGATTCAGCCTCTGTTTTACTTTTCGTTTGTAATTCAATGCACAGTGTGTGGAGGATGAAACTAACCAAACCATTTTTCTAATTGAGGCATTTGAGGGGTGGAGGGTGGTGGATTAAGACTGAGGTTATGTTAAACGACATTTAAAATGAGTTCAGCTTTCAGTTATCTAGACATGTCCATGTTAACTAAAACAAACCTGGCAGGTGTCCTGTGATGGGCAGAATTTTAATATGCCCTCACCTGAATAACTGTAACAGCCAGTGTGGTTCTTTCTATGTTGATGTGCTTAAATAAGCCAGGCTTGATTTTCTGTTTGTTCCTTTTACAAATATTGTGATATGTGCAATTGTATATTTATAGAAAAGGCCTATTCTCAAGTGGGGATGAATAAACATAACTATGGTTTATTCATGGTGCAAGGCTCTTTGCCTGGAATCAGCTTTAAAGTCTTGGAAAAAGCCCACTTACCTAGGGTTTCACTGTTACCAGCCAACCTGATCCGACCCCTCTCCCCACCTACTGTGTGGTTTCACAATGCTCTTTCTGAAGGAGGTCATTGACACATGTACTCATCCCTGGGTGGGGAAGATCCCCTAGAGGAGAAAATGGCAATCCTCTCCAGTATTCTTGCCTGGAAAATTCCATAGACAGAGGAACCTCGTAGGCAACAATCCATGGGGTCACCAAGAGTCAGACATGACTGAGTGACTAAGCACGCAGCACGCATTCGTCCCTACTTCTCTTTCCTTGTAGCCAGCTTATATTTCCTTTTCCTATCTTCCGCTTAATTATCTTCCTGTTGGTTATTCAGTCTGAGTAGTTGAAAGGGACGTGTCTCTCCTGCCATTTGCTTATACCTTACGCTGAAAGAGCCACCCATTCCTTAAATTAGGAATTTCTGGTGCTGCTGGTAGTGGCCATGATACCAGCTGATAGAAGAGCCCTTGGCCCCCGCCCCCCCTTTTCTTTTTTCCAAGCCCTTGCCCTTGAAAAACCCGGACAGCAGAGTAAAACACGCACATTGCTAACTGCTGAGATGCTCTTTTTAGCTCTTGCTGGTGATGTACTGAATCATTTTCATGAGTGCCACGATCAACATAAAATGAAAACCACTGACAGGATAAACTCTGTCTTAAATGCTAAAGGACAGTTCTCATTTGCAGTTATTCAGGTCATTGAGCTTTTGCAAAATGAAAGAAACACAAGTTGGACGACATCCTGAGCCAGTGACTTTCAGAGTTGGAGGGTTCCCCACTTCTTTACTTAGTTTTTGAGTGCTTTCTGTCCACCTGGACTCCTCACTGGGGCTCAAGTTGACAAAATCAGTCTTCTGAGCCAGAGAGAAGTTGCCTCTATTTGGCGCCATCTCGTTTAATGCACATTCTGGATCTGAATTGTCCTCTCAGTGGCGTGGGCCTAGCTCTCTGCAGGCGGTTGCTGGAAGAAGATGATGCGCTTCACCTGTGCTTGGCGTGCAGGAACATGAGCAAAGCAGAAGCTGTCCGCACCTCTCTGCTGGCCTCCCACCCCGCTGCTGAGGTCTCCATCGTGCAGGTGGATGTCAGCAGCCTGCTGTCGGTGTTTCAGGCCACCAAGGAGCTCAAGCAAAGGTCTGCGTCGTATTGATGGCTTTTTTCTCATGTGATTGTGCAATGCAACAGCTAATAGAATAAGAACGGATGGGAAAATCTATAAAAGAAATAGGTGCAGTGTAAAAAGAAGTTATGCTGAGGAAATCTGTATAGTGACATATTGTGCCTCAGTATACCATATTTTCATTCTTAATCATAATCATGACCATTCCATGAAGATTAATTTATGAGCATATTTTGACATGCAGTCAGTTGTAAAGTCTTAGGTTAGTGTAACTCCTTTGATGTTTAAATACATTTTTTGCATCTTTGCTTCACATAAAAAGACTCCATTAAGTATGTAAGGTAGGTATTGACAAGTGAAGAAATTTCCCCAGGCCAGTCACTAAAAATTTGTTCATACCAACAGTAATTGGCATACAATAAACATTTGATAAATGTTTAGTATATGAAGGGCTAGAGTCCTTAGATATATAACTTCTCAAAAAATGGACAATAAATTGCATACAGCTACACAATGCATTTTTCTGGAAAGGTGGGGCATGTTTTTTTTCTTCTAAGAGGAATGAATAATAATTAGTTTAATTAATAAACTATTAATTGCATTTTTGTAATTCAGGCCCGTAATAAGCAAGAGCTTCTTTATTTCCATGGACAGTAAAATGAACTTCAGTATATATAAAGAAAGCCTTCTTGGTAAAAGAATTGGCTGAAGAATAATATATTGTATTTCCTTTATGCTTGATATCCATTTGTATTACTGTGTTTTCTGCTCTAATGGATATCTTGGTGTTTAGATTCCAGCATTGATGGATCAGATTATATAAATTTTACTTATCAAAGAGGAAAGATGTGAATTTTTTTTTAAAAAAATGCAAAAACCTTTCTAAGACCAGAAGGAGAGTGGGTTTAATAGAGTTGCTGTGGTACCTTATTGGGAGGACTAAGCTGGAAGGAGTATTGATCAGAGAAGATTTGACTTCAAAACCCATTACAGCTCTCCAAATTCTGTTTGAGGCCACCATCAAAAAAAGAATACTCAAGTATTTACCATGGCTAAATAAAAAGTGTTGAGAAAGTAGTACTGATGCCTAAGCTTGCGATGGCCATCTTTTTTGTGCTTTCTGTCCTTCATGGACCTTCTTTATTCTAATTGCTCTAAGAGATAACTAATAATCTTCTTTCTTGATTTTACTTGCAGGTTTCAGAGATTAGACTATGTATATCTAAATGCTGGGATCATGCCTAATCCACAGCTAAATATCAAAGCACTTTTTCGTGGTCTCTTTTCAAGGTAATTTCTATCTTCTATATTAACTGATTGCAAGGAAGGTGTTTATTTATTTTTTGGCTACTTTTGCTGTCAGTCCATTAAATTGAGGGAATGAATGGGTGTTGGGAAGAATGAAGATAGGAAGTACATGTTGCAGCTGTGTCATGAAACATGCTTTCATCTTTGTGAGGAATGTTGCAAGTCATGATTCTGTGTTCTTGGTCCCCAGATATTCCAAGTATGTTGCATGTTTTGGCAGGTCAGTGTTGGTCTGTCTGACTGTATCCATTAGAACATTTCAGAACTAGGCAGAGTTGTCAGTGAGACTCTAATACCCAGGAAGGCAGCTTTAGAAGCATTTCCCAGCCATGTGTCAGGTACCCTGACCAGTAGGCTGAGGAAATGTACAGGGCTAAATACCTTCCTGGGAGATTCTCAGTACACATTAGTGGCTCTCAAAAATGTTTAACTACAACCTACAGTAAGAAATAAATCTCTTTTGTGACCCAGTGTACTTATTCATGGACTTCCCAGGTGGCACAGTGGTGAAGAATCTTGCTTTCCAGTGCAGGAGACGTGGGTTCGATCCCTGGGTCAGGGAGTCCCTGGAGAAGGAAATGGCAACTAGCCCATTCCCGTATTTTTGCTTGGAAAATTCAGTGGCTCGAGGAACCTGGCATACTCTAGTCAGTGGGATGGCAAAGAGTCAGACACAACTGAGCAACTGCGCACATCCATGCTTACTCATAAATAGACATTACTCTTACTTCATGCTACTTCTTATACTGCTACTTTTGCTTTACTTTTCTGCCATTCAACACCCACACACCCCTACACAGAAAATCACGTGCTGGCCTTGACCTATTACATTGATCTCTCAGCGAATCACTGTCTTAGTGTATTCAGTGCCTCAGGAATTCCCTATCACAAAAAAGCATTGATCTCTCAGCAAATCACTGTCTTAGTGTATTCAGTGTCTCAGGAATTCCCTATCACAGAAAAGCCGGCTTCCCTTTGTTGCTTTGTTCAGCAGTTAGACATCAGTGCGCAGGCGAAGACACTTTCTTCTTGGCGTGGCTGTTATTCCCCCAGGGCAGTTGACTTGTATTAGGTTGGTGCAAGGGTATTGTGGTTTTTGCATGGTTGAAATTTGCTATCTGATATTGGAATACATTCTTAAATAAATGTGTTTATGTTATACATCATTTTAATGCACATTTCTCACTTTGTTTTTTTGCTAATGACTTATTACTTGCTGTGTATCTTATACTTTTTTTAGACTAGGGAAATGATGTTAGACAAAAAGAAAATTCAAGTGATTTTCTTATTTGAGTTCAAAATTGTTCATAAGGCAGTGGAGACAACTTACATCAACAATACATTTGGCCCAGGAACTGCTAACAAACATACAGTGCAGTGGTTGTTTGAGAAGTTTTGCAAAGGAGATGAGATCCTTGAAGATGGGGAACTTGGTGGCCGATGGTCAGAAGATGACAGTGACCAGTTGAGAACAATCATTGAGGCTGATCCTCTTACAACTGCATGAGAAGTTGCTGAAGAACTCAGTGTTGACCGTTCTATGGTAGTTTGGCATTTGAAGCAGATCAGAAAGGTGAAAAAGCTTGATAAGTGGGAGCCTCATGAGCTGACTGCAAATCAAAAAAATTGTCATTTGGAAGTGTCATCTTCTCTTATTCTATGCAAAAACAACAAACCACTTCTCAGTCAGATTGTAATGTGCAGTAAAAAGTGGACTGTATATGACAACTGACAATAGCCAGCTCAGTGTTTGGACCAAGAAGAAGCCCCAAAGCACTCCTAAAGCCAAACCTGCACCCCAAAAAGTGTCATGGTCCCTGTTTGGTGGTGTGCTGCCATTCTGATCCACCACAGCTTTCCGAGTCCCGGCAAAAGCATTACCTCTGAGAAGTAGGTTCACCCAATCAGTGAGATGCACCAAAAACTGCAATGCCTGTAGCTGCATTGGTCAAGAGAGAGGGCCCAGTTCTTCTCCATGACCACACGTTGCACATCCAGCGCTTCAAAAGTTGAATGAATTGGGCTATACAAAGTTTTGCCTTATCCACCATATTCACCTGATCTCTCGCCAACTGACTGTGACCTCTTCAAGCATCTAGACAACTTTTTGCAGGAAAACGCTTCCACAACCAGCAGGAAGCAGAAAAATGCTTTCCAAGGGTTTGTGGAATCCTGAAGCATGTATTTTTATGCTACAGGAATAAACAAACTTACTTCTCATTGGCAAAAATGTGTTGATTGTAATGGTTCCTATTTTGATTAATAAAGGTGTGTTTGAGCCTAGTTATAAGATTTAAAATTCACGGTCTGAAACCACGATTACTTTTTCACCAACCTAATAGCTTGATTTGGAATGAAGAGAGTTTTTGCAGCAGGGTTTTGAGAGGCTCAAGTTCCTGTTGATTGTATGAACTATAAGTATATAAGTTGAACTGGGTGCAAGAAGGCATTTTTGCATTTGATTTAGTGCTCAAAATAACCCGCTCTGAGAAATAAGTATTTCTGTTCCTGTTATTACAGAAACGAGGAAAATTTGGGGGGTTGTGGAAGGCAGGAGGGGGTATCTCTTTATTATCTTCAGTTAAAGAAGCTTTCAAAAGTCATACCGTTGTCTTCTGTTGTTTCAGAAACGTGATTCATATGTTCTCCACAGCTGAAGGACTGCTGACACAGAATGACAAGCTTACTCCTGATGGGCTCCAGGAGGTGTTTGAAACCAATGTCTTTGGCCACTTTATCCTGGTAAAAATGTTTTAGGCTTAGTAAGCCAACTGTTAGTGCTGCGATCCTAAACATGTGTGCAGATATGTCCAATGCTGTGTTGTTAAGCTCGTTAGTTTATGGCTAGCATTACATCTTTGAGTGTTTAAATGGGGGTGATTACTCTTTGAAAACATTGCTTCCCTAAAGCAGCCTGTTGGTGTATTTTTTCCTTTGGACATCAACTTCAGAGAGCGGAAAGTAAAATATAAACACACAAGCACTTTTAGAAACACTGAACAGAACTGAGAAAGTGCACAAGTACTGTTCTAAATGGTCTTTGCAACTGGGGCTGTCATCAGATAGGATGGGGTAACAGACATGAAACAGTTAGACAGTACTTAATAGTTAATCTTTTACTATCTTGATGTGATTTCTTAAGCATCCAGACTGATGTGTTATAATTCGAGGCATACATATAAAGCTAAGCAAGGGATGTGCAAATTGCCTAAGTTGTTCTGTGCTCTTGCCTCACATTTATTCTCATAAGACAGCTTTAATCTCTAGATTAAGTAATGCCCAGCTCTGTTGCCAGTTGCTTTTAATTCTTTATTATTAGAAGAACTCTTTCTGATGCATGGAATTTGTATCTCTGACACTTTTAGATTTATGATCTTTTTTTTCACCTCAAATATAATTTCCCTCATAATTGGACCTCTTTGAGGGCTAGCTGTAAATATAAATATAATAATTTAAGATGTACATAAACATTGGAATATTGTAAACCATTAAAAGGAAAGATCTTTTGCACTTAGATGGGATAGCCATTAGTATTTTATTATTGAGAAGAAACAGCTAGTGGTATTATGTACAGTGTGCCCTCATTTGTATAAACAAATAGACAAATATATATCTATTTCTAGAATGATACAAATGAAGTTGGGAACCCCTTTGAACTGGGGTACCAGAATATCAGGAGTGAGTGTGAGATTCATGTGTCATTCTAGGTCCTTTAGCACTTAAAAAAAATGTGGTATTGCTTCTTCAATGATAAAAGTTAAAATATAGTCAGGATAGGATTGAATTCATATTTGATCATGTTTTATAACTCTTCAGAGATTCATCTAATATATCCCTTATGTTTTTATAATCCTCTCATTCTTTGCCCTCTTTTTGAATTATTAAATTAATTGGCAGTGATAGAGGGTAAGTTAATGTTACTATTAATAGTCTGTCAACTTTTTGATGAATCTACTGTTTAAAAAATCAAGTTGTTAAGGAAATATAGTATTTTGGGGTGATCCAGGTTGGAATGGCAGAGGAGAGTTGTGACCAAAGGCACAATTCTCACAGATGTCCTGGTGACATGACTTAATATTGTGTATCCTTATGTAGGTAGGCCTAACAGCAGGGGTTTGGGGATTGATTTATCAAATAAAATAACAGGAAGGCTTATGATGCCTTCTACTCTCTCTGAATTAGTTTTAGGAATCTTACCACTTTGTGGAACAGAAACTTGGATTCTAGGTCCAAGTGTAAATGCATTATAGGAGTGGGTCCATCCCCAGTTTGATTATAAATGATCAAACTTTTAGGGCTGTTAAAAGACTAGAGATAATTTCTGTAAAGTTCCAGGTACAGTGCAGTATCACATTGTGGAACCAGATAACTGAGTTAATCTCATGTTCATGGATTCTCTCGATTTGATGTAAATATTCATTGCAGATGTGGAAGCATTCCTAGATATTTCTTTAATACACTTCTAGTTTTAGGGTAGCTTTAGATTTACAGAATTATTGCAGAGAGAGTATCTGCATACCCTAGGCCTAGTTTCCTCTATTATTGTTATCTTTTGGCTGCATCATGCTGCATGTGAGATCTTAGTTCCCCCACCTGGGCTTGAACCTGCACCCCCTTGCATTAGAAGCTTGGAGTATTAACCACTGGACCACCAGGGAAGTCCCAGTGTCCTCTATTATTAACATCCTACGTAGGTTGGTAGATGGTCACAGTTAGTGAACCAATGTTGATATATTACTATTAACGAAACTCCATGCTTTATTCAGATTTCTTCAGTTTTGTGTGATAATTCTTTTTCAGTGCTAGCATCCCGTTTAGTAGTTAAATCTCACATTACATTTAGTAGTCCAGTCTCCTTAGGCTCTTGTTGGTCGTGATAATTTCTCACACTTTCCTTGCTGTTGATGGCCCTGGCAGTTTGGGGATTGCTGCTCAGGTGTTTTGTATATGGTCCCTTACTGGGATGTGTCTGTTTCCCTCATGATTAGATCTGAGAAAAGGTGTGTTTGAAAGGAAGACCGCCGAGAGAGCGCGCTCGTCCCATCCTGTCGGTGTGTCTTACGAGGGCTGGCGTTCTCTGTGCTCCGCTGACCTGACGTGGCGTCTGTCAGGGTTTCCTGTGTGCGGTTACTTCTGTTTCCCTTTATATATAGTAGTCTGGGGGAGAGTCACTTAACGTAGCCCACACGTGGTTGTGCTCGGCCTTAAGCATGGAGTAGCTATATGAATTAATTGGAGTTTTTCTGCAAGGGAGATATGTCTGTTCTCCTCCACTTAATTCTTTATTCAACCACTTATTTATTGGCCTATTATTCCTTAGTAAAGCTGAATAAAGGCATTTGTTACATCCATGCAGATTCATGGATATGTATTTTCTCCTTTGAATTATAAACACTATTTTCTTACTCGAATTATTTTAGCTTGGGCCATTGGACCTCTTTCAGTTGGAACTTTTATATCTTTTTCGAAAACTCTTATTGAAGTATAGTTGATTTACAGTGTTGTATTAGTTTCAAGTGTACAGAGAAATGATTAAGTTATATATACATGTATATGTATATGTCTATATACACATATATCTTCTTTTTCAGATTCGTTTCCTGTATAGGTTATTACACAATATTGAGTATAGTTCTCTGTGCTATGCAGTAAGTCCTTGTTGGTTATCTATTTTGTATATAGTAGTGTGTCCCCCGCCACCTTTCCCCTTGGGTAACTGCAAATTTGTTTTCTATGTCTGTGAGTCTGTTTCTATTTTGTAAATAAATTCTTTTGTGTCATTTTTTTTTCTAGATTCCACATATAAGTGATATCATGTATTTGTCTTTCTCTGACCTCACTTAGTATGATCATCTCTACGTTCATCCATGTTGCTGCAAATGGCCTTATTTTGTTCATTTTATGGCTGAGTAATATTCCACTGTGTGTGTGTGTATACACACACCACGTCTTTATCCATTCATCTATCAGTGGATATTTAGGTGGTTTCTATGTCTTGGCTATTGTAAATAGTGCAGCAGTGTGCATCATGGTGTATGTGTCTTTTTGAAGTACGTTTTGGAAACTCTGTTTTTAGTAGACCTCTGTCATACTGTTCTCCATAGTGGCTGTACCAGTTTATATTCCCATCAGCAGTTTAAGAGGTTTCCTTTTTCTCTGTACCTGTTCCAGCATTTGTTATTTGTAGACTGGTGTGAGGTGATACCTCATTGTATTAATAGTTTTGATTAGCATTTCTCTAATAATGAATGATATTAAAAATCTTTTCATGTTCCTCTTGGCCATCTGTGTATCTTCTTTGGAGAAATGTCTATTTAGATCATCTACCCATATTTTGATTGGGTTGTTTGTTTTTTGATATTGAGCTGAATAAGCTATATATTGTATATATTGGAATATTGTATATTTTGGAATTAATCCCTTATGGGTTGCATTGTTTGTAAGTATTTTCTCCCATTCTGTAGGTTGTATTTTTTTATATTTATTTTTAAAATTTATTGTTTTATTTATAGTTTCCTTTGCTGTGCAAATGCTTTTAAGTTTAACCAGATCCCATTTGTTCACCTTTGTTTTTATTTTCATCACTCTAGGAGGTGTATCCAAAAAGATATCGCTGAGATTTATGTCAAAGAGTGTTCTGCCTACATTTTCCTACAGGAGTTTTATAGTGTCTGGTCTTACATTTAGATCTTTTATCCATTTTGAGTTTACTTTTGAGTGTTGTGTTAGAGAATGTTTTAATTTCAGTCATTTGCATGTGGCTGTCCAGTTTTCCCTGCACCAGTTACTGCAGGGACCTTCTTTTCACACTGAGTGCTTTCCTCCCCTGTAGATTGCTTGGCCTTAGGCACATGGGTTTATTTCTGTGCTTTCTATCCTGTGGAATTTCTGTGTCTTTGACACAGCCTCATCATTGTGGCTTTCTGGTTTTGTTTTGTGCATGTCCTTCCTGACACCACATGATGTTTAACACTCACGTTATGTATTTCCTATCCCAGTCTCAGAATCAGACATTTCTCTGAGGAGATCTGTTTCCTTTTATTGGAGAATGGCATTAGAAACTCAGACCTGGTGCTGCTTGCTGTTGAGATAGCATTTGCTTGTAGGCCCTCTCAGCTCGCAGAGCAAGGACATATCGTGTTGTTATTCAGTCTCCCAGTCATGTCTGACTCTTTGCAGCCCCATGGAACTGCAGCACACCAGGCCTCCCTGTCGCTCACCATCTCCCCAAGCTTGCCCAAGTTCATGTCCATTTCATCTGTGATGCCATCCAGCCATCTCATCCTCTGATGCCCTCTTCTCTTTCTGCCCTTCATCTTTCCCAGCTTCAGGGACTTTACCAGTGAGTCAGCTGTTTGCATCAGAGGACAGAATTGCTGGAGCTTCAGCATCAGTCCCTCCAGTGAATATTCAGGGTTGACTTTCCTTAAGATTTGACTAGTATAATCTCCTTACTGTCCAAGGGATTCTCAGGAGTCTTCTCCAGCACCACAGTTTGAAGGCATCAATTCTTTGGCATTCTGCCTTCTTTACGGTGCAGTTCTCACAACCATACATGACTACTGGGAAGACCATCACCTTGACTATACAGACCTTTTTGGCAGAGTAATGTCTCTGCTTTTCAACATACTGACTAGCTTTGTCATAGCTTTCCTGCCAAGAAGCAATTGTCTTCTGATTTCATGGTTGCAGTCACCATCTACAGTGATTTTAGAGTCCAAGAAGAGGATATCTGTCACTGCTTCCACCATTTCCCCTTCTATTTGCCATGAAGTAATGGGGCTGGATGCCATGATCTTACTTTTTTTACTATTTAGTTTTAAGCCGGCTCTTTCACTCTTGTCCTTCACCCTCATCAAGTGTCTCTTTAATTCCGCTTTGCTTTCTTCCATTAGAGTGGTATCATCCGCATATCTGAGGTTGTTGTTTCTCCCGCCTATCTTGATTCCAGCTTGTAACTCATCCAGCCTGACATTTCTCATGATGTGCTCAGCATATAGGTTAAACAAACAGGGTGGCAGCAGACAGCCCTGTTGTACCCCTTTCTCAAACTTGAACTAGTCGGTTGTTCCACACAGGGTTCTAACTGTTGCTTCTTGACCTGCATACAGATTTCTCAGGAGATAGGTAAGATGGTCTGGTATTCCTATCTCTTTTAGAGCTTTCCACAGTTTGTTATGATCTACAGAGTCAAAGGCTTTAGTGTAGTTGATGGAACAGCCGTGGATGTTTTTCTGGAATTCAAGGAAATACCTATGTGCATGCTAACCCATTTATATATAAATATCTATAAATATTTTGAATGTAATCATCTGAATCTTTATTAAGCTCAGCATGAGTTCACACTGAGTCTGACTAATCCCTTACCACGTGGATCAGTCTATACTCCTTCTCTTGCTTGTGTCCCACTCTACCAATGACACACACGTTCGATTCTAGGGTGCATTTATGTTGCTTTCAAAATTGTTATCTTGTGATCCCTTAGTGTATTTTGACACTTTTTTTTGTTTGTTTGTTTTATTCCTCATTCAGATTCAGGAACTAGAATCTCTCCTGTGTCACAGTGAGAGTCCATCTCAGCTCATTTGGACATCATCTCGCAATGCAAAGAAATCTAATTTCAGCCTTGAGGATGTCCAGCACAGCAAAGGCCAGGAGCCCTACAGCTCTTCCAAATATGCCATTGACCTTCTGAGTGTGGCTTTGAACAGGAACTTCAACCAGCAGGTAGCCTGTCTCAGTGATCTGGAAATGGCAGCAGTGTTTTCTGAACTACCACTGATTTCTTAGTAAAGTGGCTGGCTGTCTGTTGTAGTGTGAAGAAGAAATATTGTTTCTTGAGCAGGATTGCTGTGAGGACAAGGTAAGACATGACTAAGACTGATAGTTGATGTATAGGAAGCTTAGGGCAGAGACAATGAGCTCCGGACTTGTAGGTATATGGGGGTTCATTTTAGCTCCTCTGGAGCTATAATTTATATAACAGAATGACACTACTAACTATATCGAAAGCTCCTATCAAGCATTTGCCGTGTGTCATTTAATACCTTTCCCATCACAGTGAGGTGGGTCTGAATATTTCCATTTTCGTATGAGGACACTAAAGTTTGGAGTCCTTATTAAAGTCATTTACCCAGAAGTCACACGGTTTAGTAAAGGCTGGAGCTCAGAGCTGAGCTCAAGGCTGTCTAACTTCATCGCCTGGCCTTTTCCCATTAAGCCGTGCTGCCACCCAGAGTTTGCTTTGTCCAGTGTTACAGGACCGTTGGTAGTTAGAAGGCCCTTGGAGAACGGGGATCTTTGGTGAGGCTGCCAAGCTCTGCCTTTGTGACGACTGGGTTTAGAGAGCAGCCCTCGTCAGACGTGCTGGCTTCTTGTGGCCTGTGAGGTCTGGAACTTGGGGCTTCTTTGTATGTTCCTCTTGCCCAGGTCCAAAATTTTAACTGGAAATCTCCAGTCTCTCCTGTGGGCATTTTCCTTTGTTTGCTTTGACTGTGTTTTTTGAATGTGGGACTGGAGAGAAATTTAATTCCAACAATATTTACAAAAACTGACCATTTTTAGGGTACTGACCCAGGCTTAGAATTGAGGAGAAAGGAGAAATAAAAAGACCATGCAGAAACTATTTGCCCTTAAGGGACCGTTTTCGATCATCCGTTAGATACAGCAGTCTAAACCTTATGTAATGGTCTAGACCTGGTTGATTCTGGAATGGAGACCTTCATCAGCTGGAATTCTCACTTCTGAGAACTGGCTCTTAGTGAGGAGGATGGTATAAAAGTAGACGCTATGAGCGTATTCTCTAGATCTGCTTTTGAATCCTGGCTCTGTCACCTTGGACAGATTATTTAATGTCTTTGTACTTTCAGTCTCCTCATCTGAGAATCAGGGTTAATAACAGTGTTTGCCTCATAGATTTGCTGGGAAGATTGAGTGATTGGAGTGGTATGAAGCATTCACAGCAATGCTTTGTGTTAGAATGTGCATGCGTATATGTATCTGCATGTATGTGGGAGGTATGTGTACTTATGTGCGTGCATGCATGCATGAGTGTGCCTAGCCACACGCACGTGTGTGGGTTTGTGGGTCTGTGCGCATGTGTGTGAAGGTGACTGTGTGGTTCTGTGCTCACGGGTGTAGTGTCTGGTCATGCGGTCTGCAGCTGTTCACCCATGTGCTTACGTGTGTTTGTTTGTTGGCTGTTATTATTATTCAGGCTCAGTGTGTTGCTCCACTTGTAAGCCTCCTCCTGAGATTTCTTTGTTTAAAAACTTGTCATACTGCTTGTCCTCTGGAAACTCCCTTTTAGGGATAAGGTCAGAGTGGATTTAGCTTCTTTTTTCATTAAAAAAGCTCTGAAATTTTGCTTGTCTCCATTGTCAAGTTTTGGGATTTCATCTTTTTTTAAAAAAGATTTAGCTAATGCTGCCACCTCCTTTAAAATCTGTGTGATTGGTTTGTAGCTCATGATGTTTCTACCTTGGCTTTTATGAAGAAAGAAGTAGCTGAGAAAGAACTACCTCCCTTCGAAGACTTGTATGACTAGGAATGTTGGATCCCTGTCCATGAATGTCCCCTCCCCTCACACAGCCTTGAGAAATACTCAGGGTCGTCACGCTCATTCCTTCAGATCAAATGTGTGAAGGAACGCCAGTTTAGATAAGATGGCCTCCTTGCTTGTTTCTTTTGTTGCTCAATGTCAGAAAGTCGTGTGTGTTGAAAGCCCTGGATTTTAGTTCACAGATGTCTTCATTTAGGGCTGAATAGGTCCTAACTGTTCCTGGCTAGTTCCCAGAATAAGAAATTATTCTTAGCTATCTTTGGGGCAAAATATTTGGAAAGAATTTTTGGTCTGAAAGTTCCTGACTGTTTTTAGAGGACTGCTGGTAAATCAAGGGGATTTTCAGGTCTAAATTATCCACGTCAGGCACCACCAGGCCCTGCATCAGTGAATAAAGGAAGCCAGCCTTCTAGCTTCTGACCCTCAGGGTGCTTTCTGTCCCCTGAACTGACTGTGCTATCCTGGCACTTCCTATTTTTGTTTAAAAGGAAAAAGGAAAAAGTTAAAAGTAATAAAAATATGAATGAAAGTGAAAATGAAAGTGAGTCAGGCATGTCCAACTGACTTCATGTTTGCAACTCCATGGACTATACAGTCCATGGAATTCTCCAGGCTGAAATCCTGGAGTGGGTAGCCTTTCCCTTCTCCAGGGCATCTTCCCAACCCAGGGATAGAAGCCAGGTCTCCCACATTGCAGGGAGATTCTTAACCAGCTGAGCCAGCAGGGAAGCCCATGAATTAAAATAGTCAGTATCAAAATAAGGTGAAATGTGGTGAAAATTAAACCAAGTAAACTAGTAAAGCAAATCCCAGTGTTCCAAGGATTACTAAAGACCATCAAGCACCCTTTCTATTATTAATATGTGCCATGTGCTAACTGGGACTCTTTTTATAGAACAGATCTTTCTAAAATGATGAGTCCAGGGCTGAGAACCTGATTTAAAGATCTTCAGTTAGAGGAGGTCTTTGTGGAATCATACCCACCTCTCTGATGCCTCAAGCTAGAGCCCTGGGCCTTGTGTACCTGCAGGAAACAGAAACACACTTGAGGTTTAGCTGTCTGTATTTACTAGAATAGAAACTTCTTTCAGGCGAAGACTTTCTTTGCATGGCTTTCTTATCTCTAACTGCTCGTTTTGATTGGTCAACAGATCTTCAGTTAAGCCATGGAAAACTCGGGTAACCAGTCCTACTTCCCTCATCCAGCTTCAAGCTCGGTTACTCTTTGTTCTCTAAGTTACTTGAGAATAAAAGACTTTATCTTACTATTCGTATTGAGTGCCTCTCATAGTGCGTTTTCAGTACACGATTCTTAAACTGAAATGGTCTACCCAGCTTCAAGGACAACTTAGAGCATAAAGCCTTGATGCCTGGCTTCCTGGCTCATTTGTGTTTCTCCTTTATTAACTGGCACAGAGGTAGGCTCAGCGTGTATTGAATTGAAATGAACTGCTGCCCCCCTTTCTGCTCCCAGGGTCTGTATTCCAGTGTCGTGTGCCCAGGTACGATGCTGACCAGTCTGACATATGGAATCCTTCCTCCCTTTGTGTGGATGTTAATCATGCCAATCATATGGCTGGTGAGTGGTAAATGCTTCTTCTCTTAGTTTCCTTAAGCTGTTCAAGTTGGAGCCAAAAAGATGTGCTTAAGGGTTGGGAAGTGCTTAAAGTAACTGAACTTGGAGGTGGCAGAAGTCCATTTCCCTCAAAAGTTTTGATGTTACTTACTATGTAATCTCTGCTTCATCCTGCCTGATACTCCCACTGCACCACCATCTTAGTGTGCACTTCTCGTCAAGGGAATGTTTCTTTTATCACGCACCATATAGCCCAGGAGTTCTATGATTATATAATTTTGAGAAACCTGTGGTAAGTGATATCAAACTGGATTTCTCTGAGCTTTTAATATAGTCAAGTGCATTAAACTTTCCCAAGGAGGGTATGATTGTGCATTGTATGATCACAGTATCTTGTTTTTGTTTGTTTGTTATGTTTGTATTTTGAGCATCCCTCTAGCACTCTTTAAAAAATGCCGCTTTCAGGAAATGTCCTTCCCTTGTAGAGCTCAGGAAGTAATATCCTTCTGTTTATGGCAGGCATGGAAAAAAGATGAGAAGGACATATGCCTTCATGTTAAAAGTGGTTGACTTGGAGTAATGGAGATTAAATGATGGAAATTATTTCTTCTTTAGATTTATTTTCTGAAACCGAAAAAATGCTCTTTGTAATAAGAAATGCAGTTTGTCTTTTTTTTAACATTTAAATGGATAATACTTTTGTGACTCTAAACCACCACAAAATGACTATTGTTTTCTTTTTCTCAGTTACGCTTTTTTGCAAATGCTTTCACGTTGACACCTCACAATGGAACAGAAGCACTGGTATGTTACTAGAGTTTTAATATGTTGTATTCACTTCACAGATGTAGACTGTAAATTCACTGGATTAGAAGCAGTCATAACAGAAAAGATGAGAACAGGCTCTGTATAAATAAGCAAGGTCCTATTGGACTAAGGTGAGTCATAAGGCGAAATGTTGATGATTAGGAGTGAACTTTGAAAGTTCAGTATGTTTCCTGGCACTGAGTGCCGTGGTTCTGGGGTCAGCACTTCTGTAGAAGCAAGAGGCATGAGCAGCCAGAGGAGAGCAGAGCTCTCCCTTCCACGCTGTAAGGGCAGGCAAAGCAGATGTTGGCTGGGCAGTCAGTGTGAGATTCCCACGGAGGAGGTGTGTCTCAGGGGTCAAGAGCAGAGGCAGCAAAGTCCAGCTCCATTTCCCAATCTGAAGATTCTCTTTTCCTGTATTAGTAATAGAGAACCGAGTTATTAACTTGATTAGAAAACCGGTTTGTTTCCTTAAGTCACTCATGCAAATGGACTGCACGTGTTTCCTCATCAGTGGCAGACATTACTAATGGATCATAATACTCTGTTCTGAATCTCTGAATATTTTTCAACTAAAGGCCCCAAAGACATTCCCTACCAGTGGATGAGAATTGTCATACAAGATGAAATGTATTTGTCCTCTGTGCTGTATACCATCTGGTTGAAATTCCACTGTATTAAAAGTCAGTTCTGTGTGTGCTTCCCTCACTCCACTTAGCTCCTTCAGGATTTTTGCTCTGTATTTTAGAAACCTGAGAGCCTATCACTAGAGTGTTCATACTTAACAGATTCTTAAATCATAGCTGAACTGAAATTAAGGAAAACACTAAGGGAATTGACTTGGCACTCTTGTTATGGTAAACATTGCAGAAAGAAATGCATTTATTGTAGAGAGACAAATTGATAATAGAAGCAAATACTTTTAAACTTATTTTACGTATTTCTTAATATATTTGTCAAGCCATTTAAAATAATGAATGATTGTTTAGGGATTACTCCTTCCACACATTTACGACACTGAAAATCAAATCTAGAGGTCAAGTATATATTGTGTCAGAGGAGTAGGAATAGTTAAAATTCAGAATCTCCAGTTGCTAAGGAACTTAGAGTCATGTTTAAAAAAAAAATGAATAGAGAAAATAGACAAGAAAATCAGACGTTCTGTCATCTGGTGGCAAGTACTCTAGGAGTGATCAGAACGGAGGATCACTATGGGGCTGGGCTGGTTGGAGCAGGCACTGCTTACTGAGTCAGGCTTAACTTGGGCTCTGAAGGATAGGTTGAATTTGATAAGATCAGCGGCAGGTCCCCAGTGTCATGTTCAAGTTTGTGACCTGCTGAAATTCCCTTCAGTGTGGATGAGTAGGATGTCTTTACCACTTAGTGATGATGGTATATGCTGGGGCTACACATGAGGGTTTGAGCACACCATATGTGTAGCAAGAATCTCTCCAACCTTTGGTTGAATACACTTTATCTCCTTAAATGGGCTGAGCTTGAGTGGCCTAGAATACAGTGGTTAAGAATGTGGACTGTAGAATTATAGTAATTCTGTTCAAATTCCATTTCTCCAGTTTCTGACTGTGAACCCTTGGGCACATTTTTTACTTGCCTAAGCCTTTTATTATTAGCTGTAAAATAGGAATTACAGGAGTAAATGAGAGAAGGCTTATTGTAAAGGATTTTGTGTATTTCAGCATTTAAGATTTTAAAGAAAACCATCTTGATGAAAATAATGTAGTGTTGGCATGTGAATTGACAGATCAATAGAATAAAATAGAAAGTTTAGGATGGGCCCAAAGCATATAGGTGATGCAGAAAATCACCTATGCAGAAAATCAGTAAGGGTAAAGATGGTTTATTCAACAAATGGTGCCAAAAAATAAAATAGGATCTTTTCTTCATACCTTACAGTCAAATAATATTCTAGGTAAACTAAAAGATTTATGTATAAATGTAAGGATGTATAGTTACTTGGAAAAAATATGGGGACATTTTAAAATAATTTAAGAGTGCAGAGGCTTAACTATTTCCAGGAACTCTAAAAAACTGAAAAAATTGATTAAATAAAAGTAAAAAAAAATTATATGACTAAAATTCTCACAATATAGATACTCAAAAGATTTACCACAAAATGGAAGAAAAATACCTGCTACCCATAACATAGATAAAGGTTAAATTTTCTTTCTTTCTTTTTTTTATCACAAAGAAAAGGCTATACAGTTTATTTTATTTTATGCACTGGTCATTCCCATAAAATGCTTGGCTCTCATAAAATCCTATTAAAAACAAAACAGTACAAAAAAGTTTTTGGAGTTTAACTAAAGCACTAGAACTTGATAAGCATATAGCTGATTAACTTCTCACTTCATTGTACAGCAGAAACTAACACACTATTGTAAAGCCATTATGTTTCAATAAAAAATAAAATAAGAAAAAAAAGATTTTGAGGCCTTGTGTAAGCAAAGAACAAAAGATGTAGCCCTCTTTCACCTACGCTTACAAAGCACTTGCTTTTTTAAAAAATTTTTTTATTGAAGGATATTTGCTTTACAGAATTGTGTTGTTTTCTGTCAAACCTCAACATGAATCAGCCATAGGCATACATGTACCCGCTCCCTTTTGAACCTCCCTCCCATCTCCCTCCCCACCCCACCCCTCTAGGTTGATACAGAGCTCCTGTTTGTTTCCTGAGCCACACAGCAAATTCCTGTTGGCTATCTATCTTACATATGGTAATGGAAGTTTCCATGTTACTCTTGCCATACATCTCTTCCTCTCCTCCCCTCTCCCCATGTCCATAAGTCTATTCTCTATGTCTGTTTCTGCATTGCTGCCCTGTAAATAAATTCTTCAGAACCATTTTCCTACATTCTGTATATGTGCATTAGAATACGATAGTTATCTTTCTCTTTCTGACTAACTTCACTGTATATAATAGGTTCTAGGTTCATCTACCTCATCAGAACTGACTCAAATGCGTTCCTTTTTATGTCTGAGTAATACTCCATTGTGTATATGTACCACAACTTCTTCATCCATTCATCTGTCAATGGGCATCTAGGTTGCTTCCATGTTCTAGCTATTGTAAATAGTGCTGCAATGAACAATGGGATACATGTGTCTTTTTCACATGTTTCCTCAGGGTTTTCTCAGGGTAAATGCCTAGGAGTGGGATTGCTGGGTCATATGGTGGTTTTATTCTTAGTTTTTTTTAAGGAACCTCCATACCGTCTTCCATAGTGGCTGTATCAACTTACATTCCCACCAACAGTGCAAGGGCATTCCCTTTTCTCCACACCCTCTCCAGCATTTATTGTCTGTAGACTTTTTGATGATGGCCATTCTAGCTGGTGAAAATTATAAGGTACTGATGAAAGAAATCAAAGACGACATAAACAGATGGAGAGATATTCCATATTCCTGGGTAGGAAGAAGCAATATTGTGAAAATGACTATACTACCAAATGTGACCTACAGATTCAATGTGATCCCTATCAAATCACCAATGGCATTTTTCACAGAACTAGAACAAAAAATTTCACAATTCATATGGAAACACAAAAGACCCTGGGGAGCCAAAGCAGTCTTGAGAAAGAAGACTGGAGCTGGAGGAATCAGCCTTCCTGACGTCAGATTATACACAAAGCTACAGTCATCAAGACAGTATGGTACTGACACAAAAACAGAAATATAGACCAACAGAACAACATAGAAGCCTGGAAATAAACCCATGCACCTATGGGTACCTTATTTTTGACAAAGTAGGCAAGAATATACAATCGGGCAGACAGCCTCTTCAGTACATGGTGCTGGAAAGACTGGACAACTACATGTAAAAGAATGAAATTAGAATATTTCCTAACACCACACACAAAGATAAACTCAAAATGGATTAAAGACCTAAATGTAAGACCAGAAACTGTAAAAATCATAGAGGGAAACATAGGCAGAACACTCGATGACATAAATCAAAGCAAGATCCTCTATGACCCACCTCCTAGAGTAAGAGAAATAAAAACAAAAGGAAACAAGTGGGACCTGATTAAATTTAAAAGCTTTTGCACAGCAAAGGAAACTATAAGCAAGGTGAAAAGACAACCCTCAGGGTGGGAGAAAATAATAGCAAATGAAACAACTGACAAAGGATTAATTTACAAAACAAGCAGTTCATACAACTCAATACCAGAAAAACAAACAACCCAATCGAAAAGTGGGAAAAAGACCTAAACAGACATTTCTCCAAAGAAGATATACAGATGTTTAACACACACATGAAAAGATGCTTAACATCGCTCATTATTAGAGAAATGCAAATCAAAACTACAATTTTGATTAATTGTAAATTAATTACTAAACATTACTAAAATTTACTAAATTTACCAGTAATTTTACTAAAATTACTAAATTTTCTTAATTGTTAAGGAATGTCAACAAATCAAGGAAAACAACTTATTGGAACAATGGGCAGAGGACATGAACAGAGAGTTTTGAAACTTTTAATCCTATGAAGAAATGCCTAATCTTCGAGAAATGCAAATTAAAACTATAATGAAAAACTTTCACCTCTGATTAGCAAAGATTAGAAAGTTTAATGTATTGATACTGTATTGGCAGGGGTCTAGGGAAATGAGCACTCTGCTACACTGCTGGAGAGAGTAGTCTGATACAGCCTCTGTCAAGGACTGTTTGGCGATATCATCCAATATAATAAATACACATACCTTTAACCTAGCAATTCCATCTTTGGTATTTATCTTATTTAAGATAAATAAGATATCCTCAAACTTACATTGAATGATTTAGTCATCATTCATCACAGTGATGTTTGTAATAGCAAAAACTGGCAAAAACTTCTATATCAGTTGGAAACTTTATGTAAATTATGGCACATCCATAGAAGGATGCTACTTTGAAAGAGATTGAAATTTTCATGTACTGGTTTGAAAGTATCTCCAAGGCCTGTTGTTCAAGTAAAAAATGTAAAGCATGGAATAGTGTATATTTTGCTTCCATTTGCCTAAGAGAAATAGGTGTATTTGTTTTTTTAACCAAATACATTTTCTTTGGAAGAATATGCAGAATACTAACATGAGTGCTTGCTTCCAGAGAGAACTGGGTGGCTAGAAAACTGAAAGGGAGGAAGAGTTTTGACCACCATGTACATCTTTTGACTATTGTACGTGTACATACTCATCTATTAATAAAATTAAATATTACATCAGTGACCTGTACTTTGCTGTGGTGTCAGCTGAGTATCCTCTCGGAGTGAGCTTCAGTTCACATGTCCTGAGCTTTAATTTGAGGGTAAAGGGAAAAGTCAGTTAAATATGGGAACTTTTGCTTAAAAATTTTCAAAGGATGCTATTAAATGGGCTATTCTTTCTTCCTTCAAATTAGAGTTGTGGTTCATGCCAGCATCACAATCAGCTGATGCTATTCAGGGGGGTTGTCAGAATTTGTCTGGGACTCTCTGAAGTGCTGATTAAAAATCCCCTCCAGCCTCACTCACTGTGGGCAGAAGAGAAGGGTCACTGACACCCTCTTCCTTTCCAGGTCTGGCTTTTCCACCAAAAGCCCGAGTCTCTCAATCCTCTGGTGAAATATCTGAGTGCCACCACTGGCTTTGGAAGCAATTATGTGACGTCCAAAAAGGTGACTCTTTCCTTTGTTTCCCTGAAGAGGCTGATGGTGGGCTGGTCCCTGGGTTCCCGACCACCCTACCCGCTGCCCAGCTTCTCTTCTGTGGGTCTCCCCTCTCTGCCATCACACTGGCCTATTTTCATTTCTTTCTGCTCTCTCCTGCCTTTTGGCTTGGCACACCTTTTCTCCACCTAAACTGCTCTTACCTGTCTTTTTCCTGATTCATGACTACTATTTATTCTTAAGATCTCAGCTTTTATGTGACCTTTCACATCGGGTCAGGTGTTTCATGCTAGATTTTTTTGACCTCCTGAGCCAGTTCTGGGTAGAGCTCATTCAGCAGTGGGCTCCTTGCTCCAAGGAGCTCTGTGAAGAGGGGGTTACACCCGCTTTCCTTGCAGGTTCCCTTGCACATGGCACGTGCTCAAGAAATGTGACCCAAGTTGAATGAAATATAAAACATCTTTCTGAGTGAAGTTAGCTTCCCTTTGTGTTCCACTTATGACAATTATTAGCTTTAATAGTTTGGTATTTGAAGAGGCAGGGGACAGAGTTTGGAAACATGGGTGCTGTGTTTTATAGATTCTGTGTTATCTAAAATGAAATTAAACATAGTTACATAGTAGAAGGTGAAAAAAATTATTTTGACCCCATAAGGATTAATTTTGTTATATTTTTGTCATGAGTAAGGTTTATTTCAGCCTCCCATTTTTGACTGCCTAGCTTATTGTGAGGAGGCAATGGCATAAAATAAAATTCAGTATAGTTCAGTTCACCCAGTCATGTCCAACTCTTTGCAACCCCATGGACTGCAGCACGCCAGGCTTCCCTGTCCATCACCAACTTCCAGAGCTTACTCAAACTCATGTCCATTGAGCCAGTGATGCTATCCAACCATCTTATCCTCTGTTGTTCCCTTCTCCTCCTGCCTTCAATCATTTCCAGCATCAGGATCTTTTCAGATGGGTCAGTTCTTCACATCAGGTGGTCAAAGTATTGGAGTTTCAGCTTTAGCATCAGTCCTTCCAATGAATATTCAGGACTGATTTCCTTTAGGATAGACTGGTTTGATCTCCTTGCAGTCCAAGGGACTCTGAAGAGTCTTCTACAATACCACAGTTCAAAGGCATCAGTTCTTTGGTGCTCAGCTTTCTTTATAGTCCAACTCTCACATCCATACATGCCTATTGGAAAAACAAAAGCTTTGACTAGATGGACCTTCGTTGGCAAAGTAATGTCTCTGCTAATATACTGTCTAGGTTGGTCATAGCTTTTCTTTCAAGGAGCAAGTGTCTTTTAATTTCATGGCTGCAGTCACCATCTGCAATAATTTTGGATCCCAAGAAAATAAAGTCTGTCGCTGTTTCCATTGTTTCCCCATCTATTTGCCATGAAGTGATGGGACCAGATGCCATGATCTTAATTTTCTGAATGTTGAGTTTTGAGCCAACTTTTTCACTCTCCTCTTTCACTTTCATCAAGAAGCTCTTTAGTTCTTTGCTTTCTGTCATAAGGGTGGTGTCATCTGCATATCTAAGGTTACTGATATTTCTCCTGGCAATTTTGACTCTAGCTTGTGCTTCATCCATTTCTCATGATGTATTCTGCATATAAGTTAAATAAGCATGGTGACAATATGATGTACTCCTTTCCAGATCTGGAACCAATCTGTTGTTCCATGTCCAGTTCCAACTGTTGCTGCTTGACCTGCGTACAGATTTCTCAGGAGGCAGGTCAGGTTTTCTGGTATTCCCATCTCTTTCAGAATTTTCCACAGTTTGCTGTGATCCACATGGTCAAAGGCTTTAGCCTAGTCAATAAAGCAGAAGTAGATGTTTTTCTGGAACTCTCACTTTTTCGATGATCCAATGGATGTTGGCAATTTGATCTCTGGTTCCTCTGCCTTTTCTAAATCCAGCTTGAACATCTGGAAGTTCATGGTTCACATACTGTTGAAGCCTGGCTTGGAGAATTTTGAGCATTACTTTGCTAGCGTGTGAGATGAGTGCAATTGTTTTATGTGGCAATTTGAACATTCTTTGACCTTGCCTTTCTTTGGGATTGGAATGAAAACTGACCTTCTCCAGTCCTGTGGCACTGTTGAGTTTTCCAAATTTGCTGGAAAATTAGATTGAAGCAAATAAGTTAGCTAAGACAGAGTCATACTTGACAGTGACCTTGTCTATATGTCAGTAGCTTGAGGTCTAAAGGGAACCATGCTCTCCACTTCCCATAGTATATGTTTACTGAAAATGAACCCAAGAACCTCAAGTGTTTTCCATACTATATTGTGTGAGATACTAGTTCCTTAAGAAGATTTGCAAAAAGCAATTTGTCATACAAGTAAGTTTGAGAAATGCTTCACATTATATTCCCCCCCTTTCAGAGACCCGCACAATGCACATTATGCCAGCAAAGGTTTGAGAAGTTGTTACAGTTAGGAAATATGCCTGACATGTTTCATCCTCCTGTTTCTAAGTTATTCTTGACTGTATGACATTTTCTTTTCCTTTTAAAATTTAAGAATGCATAACAACATCCCAAGGAACTCTGTGCTGTGTGCTAAGTTGCTTCAGTCATGTTTCACTCAACTCTTTGAGACCCCAGGGACTGTAGCCTACAGGCTCCTCTGTCCATGGGATTCTCCAGGCAGGAATACTGGAGTGTGTTGCCATTTCCTTCTCCAGGGGACCTTCCTGACCCAGGGATTGAACCCGCCTCTCTTGTGTCTTCTGCATGGGCAGACGTGTTCTTTCCCACTAGCACCACCTGGGAAGCCACCTTGGGAACACTACTATAAACTAATAAGCTTACTTTTAGGTCCTCAGAATTTTTGAACTTACATATATTGATCTCAAAGGAATGACTGATTTACCAAGGGGATAAAATGTTTAATTCCTTAAACCAAAGAACTCTATTAGCATTTCTTGGAAATGCATTGCATAATGTTGTTAACCTTCGATTAATTTTGGGAAGTCAGCTTTCTGCTGTTTAAATATTGGGTTGAATTAAAGAGAGCTGTAATTCCTCTTCCAGTTACAACATGAAAAAAAATGCTAACATGATTGAATGTAAATGTTTTTCCAAAATGTTTTAAAGTTTTCTTTAATTTTTAGCCTTTTAGCTTTGGGGGCTGGCAGTTTGCTTTGCATACACTGTATCAGTTAAAATTAATTTTCTACATAAAACAGAAGAATGTAAAGTAAAGTGGATAAAACAAGATAAAAGCTAAGATTTCTTGCATGTAAAGCAGTTTGGAGAATGGCAGCTTTGGGCTGGCCTGGCAGCTTTGCAAATTGTCAGGTATCCAGGTTCCCGCTGCCATCCCTGAGGTACGGCTCGCATCATTGTGGTTCAGAATAGCAGTGTGAAGAAGGGAGAAAGAAAGGGGTGCCCCATTCCCTTTAAAGAGAGTTCTGTGTAGTACCACACACTTCCACTTATATCTCATTGGCCAGAATTTAGTCCATGGTACCATTAGCTTCAGTGAAGGCTGGAGACTTAGTCTTTTATCTGCAGGGCACTGAGTTCAGCTAAGATCAAAGCTCTTTTACTAAAGAAGTTAGTTACTAGGAGGTTAAGTATCAGCTGTAATTAAAAAAAAAAGTTAAGATTCCTAACATTCCCCACATGGCTTCCACCACAGCTTTCCCACCAGGCCTTTTTTGGATTCTCTTACCTGTTATTTAAATGGATTCCTTTTATTCAAATACTGTTTATTTTTCTTTTCTAGTCATGCCTATTTTGCTTCTTTTCCAGATGGACCTAGATGAAGACACTGCTGAAAAATTTTACCAAAAGTTACTGAAACTTGAAAAGCAGATTAGGGTCACCATTCAGAAAACCAATAACCAGAACTGAAAATGATGCTCTCTGAAACATACTGTGCCTTTTGGGGATTCTGGAGTGCATGGGTTTCTCCTGAGCTGGATCATGTGCATTTGTGGTAAACACTGATTTCTGATGGTCTCTTCATCACAGAATCACCTCTGTGATTATGTGTGTGTGTGCATGTGAGAAAAGAATATCTGATATTTTATCAATATCTTAAGAATGATGTCACATCAAAGTCGTGCTAGAGTCAACCAACTGAGTATCTGTTTGTTCAGCCAGCGAGAGCACAAGCTCTACTTCATGGGATGAGGTGTTGACTTGAATAATTATGACAGACACATACTGATTCTCCTTTCACCTGCCCCAGGAGGAGGACGTACTACTCATTCTCTGAGTAGCAATCTTAGCCTTGTTCTTCACAAGTAGTTTTCCCTGGTTTTGTACCTTATTTCTTCCTCCACATGCCACATTTAAAAATCCCGATACAGATGCCCATGTTATTAATCATCACAGTAACAAAAGTATATGTATTTGGGCCACCTGAATTATTTTCTCTTTATTTTAAAAGTATCTTTTATTGATATTGAGATAGTCCATGTTAATAGTGGGCCTGACCTTCACCACAGTTTACAAATGTATTACTGACCAACTTGTTTCCATGACATATTTTAGTGAATGTAATCCTGCACCAAAAATAATTTACTCAAATTGTTTCAATGAATTTACTCAGATTTTTCAATTGAATAATTACTGGTGGAATGTCTCTCAGTAGTGGTCAAAAGTGATTAGGACTAGTTTGCATGATGTCAAGACAAAATGCTAAAATTCCTAGGTGTTTCAGCCAACATCTGGAATATTAAGAGTAATATTTTGAATGAGTTAATATGAAAAATTACATGTAAATATAATGTCTGTATGTTTTAAAGTGTGGAATTTTGGTTATTCTTTCTCTGAGTTTGTTGCTAAAGATATTTTTAATAACTTTAAACATAAACGAAAATGAGAGCTGACCACTCTCCATTCTCTTTGAGAAAGAAGGGTGAAGTTAGAGAGCTGAAGCATAGAGCTGGTTTTCACTCTTCTGTTTACTCACTGTTAATTGGGAAGAAGCACATTTTTGTGGATCTCAAGCTTTCTGTCTGTGAAGTGGAATAATTGTCTTTCTGTGTTCTCTGTTCATGGAAATGAAGTGAGAATTAAAGGCAGTAACATATGTGAATGAATAAAGAGCATTTTTTGAGAATGATGACTACACAGTATTTATTAGAGATTAATAAGCCAGTGTGGCATGGTTGAAATATTACTGTGTGAGGCACTGAGTGGCCACAGCCCCTCTGACTGAAAGTGGTCTCTGTTTCTGGAATTTTTTTTTTTTTTAATTAAAGTATGGTTGATTTACAGTTTCTAGGTGTACAGCAAAGTGATTCAGCTATATTCAGTTTTTCAGATTCTTTTCCACTATAGATAGTTACAAGTTACTGAATATAGCTCCCTGTACCATATGGTAGATCCTTGTTTTATTTATTTGTAGTTTGTGTCTGTTGTTTATTTGTAGTATGTATCTGTTATTCTCCAACTGCTAATTTAAATCCCCCTCCCCCACCATCCCCTTACTTAACCCCAAGTTTGTTCTCTGTCTCTGTGAATCTGTGTGTATGTTTTAAATCAGTTCATTAAATCAGATTTTTAGATTACACATGTAAGTGATATCCTGTGATATTTGTCTGTCTGACTCGCTTCACTCATGACACTCTCCAGGTCCTTGTTGCTGCAGATGGCATTAGTCATCCTTTCTCCTGGCTGAGCGGCAGTGAGCTGGGCACTTTATACACCACACCTTTATCCACTCCTCTGTCGGGGATGTTCAGGTGGCTGTGATGTCTTGGCTCACGGTGCTGCTGTGACACAGGGGTGCATGCATCTTTCCCAGCTAGTTTCCCTCCCCCAGATGTATGCCCAGGAGTGGGGTTGCTGGTGTTGGGTTCAGTCTCTGAGTCAGGTCCAGCTCTTCACAACCCTGTGGACTGGACCCCCCGCTCCTCTGTGGGATTCTCCAGGCGAGAATATTGGAGTGGGTTGCCATTTGCTCCTCCAGGGGATCTTTCCAACCCAGGAATCAAACTGTGTCTCCTGCATTGCAGGTGGATTCTTTACCCACTGAGCCACCAGGGAAGCCTGGGATTGCTGGATCATTTGGTTACTATTTTTAGTTTTTTAAGTAACCTGCATACTCTTCTCCATAGTGGCTGTACCAGTTTACATTCCCACTAATAGCATAGGAGGATTCCATTTTTTCCACACCCTCTCCAGCACTTACTATTTGTAGAATTTTTGAAGATGGCTACTCTGACTGCTTTGAGGTGATACTTCATTGTACTTTTGATTTGCGTTTACTCTAATATGTAGCCATGTTGAGTTTTTTTTTCATATGCATTTTGGCCATCAATCTGTCTTCTTTGGAGAAATGCCATTTTTTGGTTGGGTGTTTGATTTTGTTTTAATATTGAACTGTATAAGCCATTTGTATATATTGGAAATTAGCCCCTTGTCAATCACAATTTTTAAATATTTTCTATTCTATAGGTTGCTTGATGGTTTCCTTTGCTTTTAAGCTTTTAAGTTTAATTAGGCCCAACTTGTATGCAGGTCAGGAAGCAACAGGTAGAACTGGACATGGAACAACAGACTGGTTCCAAATAGGGAAAGGGGTAAGTCAAAACTGTATATTGTCACCCTGCTTATTTAACTTATATGCAGAGTATATCATGAGAAATGCTGGGCTGGAAGAAGCACAAGCTGGAATCAAGATTGCTGGGAGAAATATCAATAACCTAGATATGCAGATGACACCACCCTTATAGCAGAGAGTGAAGAGGAACTGAAAAGCCTCTTGATGAAAGTGAAACAGGAGAGTGAAAAAGTTGGCTTAAAGCTCAACATTCAGAAAACTAAGATCATGGCATCTGGTCCCATCACCTCATGGGAAATACATGGGGCTCCAAAATCACTGCAGATGGTAACTGCAAGCCATGAAATTAAAAGACACTTAGTTCTTGGAAGGAAAGTAACCAACCTAGATAGCATATTAAAAAGCAGAGACATTACTTTGCCAACAAAGGTCCATCTGGTCAAGGCTATGGTTTTTCCAGGGGTCATGTATGGATGTGAGAGTTGGACTGTGAAGAAAGTTGAGCACTGAAGAATTGATGCTTTTGAACTGTGGTGTTGGAGAAGACTCTTGAGAGTCCCTTGGACTGCAAGGAGATCCAACCAGTCCATCCTAAAGGAGATCAGTCCTGGGTGTTCATTGGAAGGACTGATGCTGAAGCTGAAACTCCAATACTTTGGCCACCTCATGTGAAGAGTTGACTCATTGGAAAAGACCCTGATGCTAGGAGGGATTGGGGGCAGGAGGAGAAGGGGATGACAGAGGATGAGATGGCTGGATGGCATCACCGACTCGATGGGCATGAGTTTGAGTGGACTCTGGGAGTTGGTGATGGACAGGGAGGACTGGTGTGCTGCGATTCATGGGGTCGCAAAGAGTCGGACATGACTGAGCTACTGAACTGAGCTGAACTGATGTCTTCTTGGATTGATCCCTTGATGATTATGTAATGCCCATCTATGTCTCTTATCACAATCTTCATGTTAAAATCTATTTTGTCTGATATGAGTATTGGCACTCCAGCTTTCCTTTGATTTCCATTTGCATGGAATATCTTTTCCCATCCCACCACTTTGAGTCTGTATGTATCTCTAGATTTGAAGGGAGTCTCTTGTAGGCAGCATATCTATGGGTCTTGGTTTTGTATACATTCAGGCAGTTTGTGTCTTTTTTGTTGGAACATTTAGTCTATTTACATTTAAGGTGATTATCAATATCAATGTTCTTGTTTCCATTTTGTTCATTGTTTTGGGTTTTTTTTTGTAGATCTTTTTTCCTCTTTCTTGTGTTTGTATTATGTTTAGAATCCTTTTTTAATTTGTATATATATTATAGATTTTAGGTTTATAGTTATGACGAGGTTTTTAGTTAGCAGTCTCTATATATGATTGTTTAAGTTGCTGATATGTTAATTTCAAAGGCATTTTAAATACCTTGCATTTGTATTCTCCTTCCCTCATGATTACTGTTTTTGATATATATCTTACACCTTATTTTTGCTGTGGACTCTTTAGTCTTTACACAGCCTGTCTCCTAATGGGTGGGACTGTGTCCCTGCCCAGTTAGTTCTTTTGCCTGAGGTGTCCCAGCACTGGAACCTACAGGCTGTTGGATGGGGGCCAGGTCTTGGCACTAACGGTCCAAGATGCCAGGATTGTTAATGTGCTGCATGGTCCTCAGCATGGCTTCCACCAGCGTCTTTTCCTGGGGTGGACTGCAGCTGCCCTTGCCTCACCAGCACTCTCCAAGACCAGCAGGCAGGTCTGGCTCAGGCTCCTGTTAAGTTACTGCTTTTGTCCTAGGCCCCAGTGTGCACTGGATTTTGTGTGTGCCCTCTAAAAGTGATGTGTGTATTTCCCCCAGTCCCATGGGGCTTCTGCAGTTAAACCCTGGTGGCCTACAAAGCCAAATGCTCTGGGAGCGCATCTTCCCAGTGCCAGAAGCCTGGGCTGGAGAGCCTGACATGGGTCTCAGAACGCTTACTCCTGTGGGCGAACCTCTGCAATATAATCCTCCAACTGTGGGTCAGCCAGCCAGATGTTACATGTGATTTCAGTATACTGTGAATCCACCTCTCCCACCTCTCTCACTGTGATTCCTTCTCTGTCTTTAGCTGCAGAAGACCTTTTCTGGTGGGTCCTGTCTTTGTCACTGATGGTTGTTCTGCTGATAGTTGTAACTTTGGTGTGCTCGTGAGAGGAGGTGAGGTCAGGGGCTTTTCTATTGTGCCATCTTGGCCACTTTTCCGACTCTGTTTTCTGAATTGTTGAGTCATCACATTGGAGCAACATCAGGCCAAGTGGGAGGGTTTGGAGGGAGGAGCATGGGCTCTGGGACTGGGCAGACACTGAGTCAAATT